TGCATATGAAGTGCAGGAAAGTAACTGTGGTTGCAATGTGTACAATTTAGGATGGTAGAGCGGTAAATAAAATATAAATATTGCAAGTATAAATGTTATAAATATTACATAAAATCGCTGTTGACAAAACCTCGCATCTCCAAAATGGTGACGTTACAGGAGAAGTTTACTTTACTTTGAATGTAAGTCAATCAAACTTTTTTCCAAGTGATTTTGAGCTGTTTCTTTTGCTCCATTCAACATGAACTTTACCCACGCTGTAAAGGGCAACGGGCATTTTCAAATTATGTTAAAAATAGAAAAAAAAAAAATTTAATATTATATGTGGACTAGGACATAAAAGTGTCGGTTTGAATAGTGACCCGGAATAAGTACAGAATCTTGAATATTCTTAATTTTTAAGAATATTAATTAATTTAATTCAAGAATATTAATTAATTTAATTCGTTAATTTATAACTTTTCTTTGTTTCCATATTTTCAGGGTGGTCTCAGATGTTTGGAATGCACTGTACACATTCAACTCAAGCATTTACATGCAGCTAAAGGTTAGCATATATCTCAGCTGATCTCATCGGGTCAGTGTAATGTCAATGTTTACCAGCTGCCTTCAACACGATAATAATGCCCTGTAATCCAGCAATTAGGTTTACAATCTCCACGACAAAACAAGACTATAAAACGCCGTTAAGCTTATAATGCAATGACAATATTTGATTGTCCCATGATAACTTCCCTGTGAGCAGCGCGCCCTTAAACCAAACAAAGCCTCTCTGTGATTGAAGTCTGCAGTAGAGCATGTCTCTGAGTGGACTGCGCTCCTTCAAGGGTTCAGAGAACTAAGGGTTCTTTGCATGGCAAAACAGTTCTTTGGTTTAATGGAGAGTGTGTTGTATATGGTTTTTGAAAGTGGTTCTATATAGCACCAAAAAAGGGTTTATCTACTGTTATGATGCCAAGCTTTTATCAGAAGAACCCTTTTTTTGGTGCTATATAGAACCCTTTTTCAAAAAGATTCTATATGGAACCATACAGAGCACATTCTCCATCAATCTGAAGAACCATTTTATGATGAAAAGAATCTTTTAAGCATGCAAAGGGTTTTTGAGTGTTCATGGTTCTATACAGAACCGTTTTCTTTACCAAGGAACCCCTGAAGAACCATTTTAAAGTGTGTAGACTGGGTCACATGGTTATCCTGGACGTTATGACTTTTTTCTTGAGCGGTAGGCATAAGAGCCCCATCTAGTGGTGAACTTCAGGCAGTGCATATTAATAGTTACTGTCATGTAGGTAGACTGAGCACTCTCTAGCGGACATATGAGGAACTGCGGTTCATTCATGTCAGCTGCAGCACCTGGCAGGTCCCTGATGAACTATGACTCCATCAAAATACAAGCGAATCAGTTAAGCAGAACATTTGTTGTGATTGTGCGGGAAAAAATGAATAATTATTCCACATTGACGTCGTTCTGCGTTCGTTTTGCAAGGTCAGAAAAAAGCAGAAAACATTGAATAGAAAGATTACACAGATGACTCAACAGATAAATATGAAATCAAAATGTCAGTATTTACTGTGTCCACTCTTTGTCTTTATTATGACTTCCATTCTTTTCAGGGAACTTGCTTTCAGTTTTTCAAAGAAATCTGCAGGGATATTTCTTCACAACTCCAGAGTTCAGTCTTAGAAGTTGGTGGCTTTTTCTACTTCTCATGACCCAAGTAATATTGGGTCAGTGATGTTGATGTCTGGACCCCGGTGTGGTCAGACCACTGTTCTAAGAACACCAGCTGCTTTTTTGTTTGATTTACAAATGTTCTTGTTATTTTTTGCCTAGGTTATTTTCTCAGTAAGTGCTTCTTGACACCTACACATTCTTTCAGACTCACAGTGTTGTTGTCTTCTCACAGTGGAAGGACAGAAACACCACATTTTTTCAGATCTGAAGCCAGAGTGGAGCTTCTCCTGTCAAAAATGAAAGCTGTAAGTGCTGTTTATCTGATGGGGCATTTTTGGTGGTCTACCAGGTCTTACATGATTTTTAGGTCCCATTCTTTCTGTATCTTCTAATCATTTCTTGAACTCCAGTTTCTGAAACCCGTTTTTTCATTTATTTTCCTTTAATCTTCCCTTTAAGCCAGCGGTTTATCCACAATCTAATCCTCTCAGAAACAACTCCTGGAAAATAAATAACATTTTTGACTGTTTCAGTTTTGACTGAAAATTAAACAAATGAAGGGTGGTCTCAGACGTTTGCACAGTATTGTACATTATCATTCAAAAGTTTGGAATTAACATTTTAATAATATCAAATCAAATATGAATTTGGCTGCAGATAAAGTAGCACACTAGGAAGCTGCAAATTAACGTAAGAATTTTTTGTGTGTGCAGAGTGATGAATGGAGCTGTAGAAGATTTTAAAATGAATGAAGTTGTGTAGCCTCAAAAATAAAGAGATAAAAAAAAAAAATATGCAGAATTCAACATATTTAAAATATGAAGATCAAATTTTAGGACAGATCACAGAAAATTTACTGTAAATATATTATTTATCATTTTATTCACTTTTTGTTCACAGAATTCTTGAAATATGAAATAAAATATCAAAAACTACCTAACTACACCTAATGGCACAATGCTGTATTTAAATCTACACTGTATAAGCTATTATTGTATATTGTTCATGTCCAAAAAAAAAAACAACATGTATCTCCAAAATGGTAAATTTAAAGGAGAAGACAAAAATGTTCTTTACTTTAATGTAACTGAATGTAAAGAGGTTTTATTTCAAGCAATTTGGAGCATTTCTATTGGTCTATTCATCATGAAATACCAATGTAAAGGGCAGCTGCTGTGTTCAAATGATATTGAAAAAATCTGAACAGAAAAGATGGATTTAGAATTTAATTTTACATGACAACCCAAGACCATCACATATCTTTCAAATATCACTACAATTTCATCTGTGATAATTCTACATCATTATCAGAAGGCTGTTTTTGAACAGATAATAAATCAAGTGATAGTCCAAAGAATGAGGTTTAATATTCTTTATTGATTTATAGACATTTTTTTTCTGTGGTAACTCCAAGTTTCTCTTAATACCAATAATATTTCCATAAAGTTTTGTGTTTCATTTAAATTACATCTATAATATTTAACTCACATATGCATTTATTGATAGAACTCCTTATTGCAATAAACAAGAGTAGCCAGTATGAGTTGAATATTGCTACGTTTCGTCATACATACTCTTTGCCCCTCTGACGATTAAATTCAAAAATAACTTTTATTGGCAAGAAGAGGTTTGACCAAAGCTTCTCCGTGTATATTCCCTTTTCTCGGCTTCTGGAGAGGCTTAGGGTGGAATAAGGCTACGGCTAAAACACACTTCATCACTAACGTTACACCTGCCCTGAACGGTTGGATGGATCTACCAAAGAACTCCAGACATTTATGTACACTGAGGATGCTTCTGGGGGATGACTACGGGATGAACGCATTCTTTACAGAGTTTTACGGATGGAGCTAAGTGTGTCTGTATCATGCTTGTGCGAGGAGGTGGATCACTATCACTTTGTGGGGTTTTACGGCCTGACGGAGCATAGCTGAAGCATCTAAATGCCCCATTTTTAATGTGTTGGTGGGCCGCACAGCACTCCTTTAACTACAGATCCCGAATCAGCATTAGCCATTTTCTGCTAACGTCACGTGGTAAGTAGTGGATAAAGAAGGCTGATCTCATGTCTGCATTTAGAGGCAACTTTGCTTAAATCAGTTGTGAGCACACCAAGGCCCACTGTGGACAAGTCTTTCTGTCCAACTCTGAGTTCTATACACGCACAACACTAGAAGATACACACTGACAAGAACTACAGCACCCTTGCTAGAGCCTCACTAACTAATGAGAATACATCTCCAAATAGAGGTCAGTTCAATCAAAGCACAATGGTGGATGCTAACCTCTGTTAGCATCTAGTAATGGCATTGTCATGATACTCTACTAAACCTGCTGTCCACACAAACACACGAGAAAGCAACAAACGCTGAAACTAAGCTACATACGCAAAGGGTATGGCTGACTATATATTGTTTTCACTCCGATTTTGCTGTGTCCCTATCAGAGATTCATAAGGCCCTTTAATATGAAGGGCCAGTGATTGCCCCTCACAGCCCCTCTTGCTGCTACTGAAAAGGCTAGCATCTCTGTGGACAAACACGGATGCCCGTTAGCAGGCACACACGACCATTTTACAGAACCCTGTACATTTGGTTTATGCTCATCTAGAACAAGTCACATTATTCATTTACTTATTGCATTGCAATATCCAAACAAACAGTAAGACATGTTAGCGCATTGCTTGTCAATGGAAGGGCATTGTGTATCTCCAGCAGTACTTTGTGAGAAATGCATCCAACATAGTGGGCCGCTGTTTTCATTTGTCTCCATACTTCAGTTTGCCCAGGTACATTATTATTATCTACAGTGAGTAGGCCACATCCCCCCCCCACACCACCCCCCAAAGTTCCCTCCCTCGTGCAGGTCTTCTACCTACATAGAAAAATATTTTTTTTCTTTTTCATTTTTTTTTTGTTGTCCTCAGAATCTTCACATCACTATGTAATCAACAAAACAGTGTTCTATGAAAATGAACAAAAAAATAAACAGAACAAAAAAACCCAAGAACATTAAATCCATCATAGTAAAATAATAAAAATTATATGCATTGCATGGCTTTAGATTCAAGACAGGAAGTTCAGACCAAAGAATGGGAGATTGCACGTCTTGTCCATTTGTGACCTCGTGACCTTCTCTGGTTAGCTTCATATCCCCCCACTTCCTGCTTCGCTAGTATTCTCCTCTTTTTCATCCCCCTCTCTCTCCTCTTTACGAAGTGTCCATCTCAGGTTGGCCCATTGGTGGAGCTGAGGGTGGAGCCTGGCTGTGTTGCAGGCCAAGAGCAGATGCTGGAGAAAGACCTGGGTTCATATTGCTGGCCTTTTTTGTTTGTTTGTTTGTTTGTTAAGGTTGCATAATCGTTTCACGCTCATAAATGTGGGGGGAGAGAGAGAGAGAAGATGGCCAGAGGTGCCTGTGAGAGTCCAAACATGTGCTTGTGTTGCCTATTTCACTCAGAAACCCACCACCCAGTCCAATGCCACTGCGAGTCTACTAACAGCTACGCCATCTTCTAGGTAACATATTTCCGTTATGAGTTGCTACTGATATCAACCAGCTCGGAAGTTCTGAACTACACTACACGATAGAATAAATAGATATCTACTGGTCTTCCTTTGGGAACCATAAAGGTAGATGTGCAGGATTGATTTCATCCAACAGACCATCACCCCAGCATAGAGTGATAGACAACAGAAATATGGAGCAGTCTTCTCTGCACCTTCCACCTCTGGAGAGAGGGATTGATTGGGATGAAGGTTGACAGATTTTTTTTTTTTTGAGATCACTGTCTGTTCTGAATCAGAATTATGGTAGAACTTCATGCTCTAAGTAGATGTTTCCACCATCCAGCTTTGTGCCAGCAGTGAGATCCCTCTCATCTGATCCAGTGCCTTCTTCTCCTGCATCCTGCCATGGCCCAGTACACCGCTGATCACCAAAGTGCCTCTCAGAGATGGATGCGAGGGCACTACGCAGAAGAAATGTCTCCACGCTGGAAAGATACTGACATGCTAACAATATCCCAGAGCCCAGAGCTTCATAGAGCACGAGCTGATTAAAGCAGAAACCACTTGAAGCAGCTATCCTACTAACAGAATGGGTTTTTTTTTAATGATTTTTCTTCAAGGTGCATAGGGTTGAGAACACACTGAACCAGAATGAAATGTTGGGAATCCTACATGTACTGTGGCCCACAGTACAATATGCAAAGAGTTTGCAGTAGTCTTTATGTACGCGTATGCTATAAGTCTGTATGAACTTACACAAATCATCAGTTCCTACATGACTGCTTCTGTCTCACAGTGTATGTGTGAAGAGAAGGAAAGTTGAGCAGAGCTGAAGTAAGAACTATTTACTGTCTCACCATTCGCAAATTCATCTTCTAGTCACTCAGTCAGTTCCCTCCAAAGGTGGAGGGGCAGGGTAAGGGGACAGAAGAGGGATCGAACTCCTGTCAGGTCTTCTTTTCCCTTCTCTCTTCTCTTATTTTCCTCTCTCTATAGCTTGTTTTTAGGGTTGAGTAGTAGATGGATGAGTTAACTCTGTGGTTTACTATTATTTTTTAATATTATATTTTTCTTGATTTCTTCACAGTGTGCTTTTGGAGGTGCTGCTCCTGACTGGCTGTAGGTGGAGGAGGGGGGTGGGGTGTCAGTAGGGGGAGAAGAGGATTGGCCCGTGTGAGGTGCGGATGGGCCCGGGAGCCGGTCTCAGGATAGCATGGCTGAGGGGCGGGCCCTGCAGGAGATGATGATGCGGGTGGGGGGCAGGAGCTGCAGCGCGGAGAGCCAGTGGATTAGAGGAAGCGGCTGCCGCCATTGCCGCGGCGACAGCCAGAGGACTGGGCAGGAGACCAGCGCCCAGCGCTTTGGTGAGATCCTGAAAGAAGGGCGGAGAATAGTACATTGAGCCACACAGCAGAGCTGAAAGAAGTGAAGCTGACATGGACTTAACAAGCCCCTTCAATAAACCTGATTACTGTACTGTTTGCTTGGTCTTTACTTTCAATGCACTGACCCCGAGAATGAGTTTGGGAGAAAATCAACTACAGCCAACAAAGTAAATGGATAGTCTGACAGTTAATTAAACAAATAGTTAAACAGTTAAACAGTATTTACAAATAAAAACTCTAAAATAAAGCAATCGCTACTCATTAATAAACACGAAAGGAGAAGAAAAAGATCACCACTATATACTCTTATTTTACCCTCTTTTGACAGGGGCAATGGACAGCTTAGTATTTGTCCCAGAAAGTGTCCAGTTTCTCTGAAAGTTCTCTTTTGGTGTGTGTGCTTGAACTGTTTTCCTACCTAGTCCACACCACAGTTTGGGATGTTGTGTAATTGTATTTTTCATTTTGTTTGGCTGGTTTCACATTGCAACATTTAAAGTGCACCAGATTATACATGTGGGTTTTCTCTGATTTGCCAGAATTTTGGCAGGGAGATTTTTAGCCTCTGTTAGTGCCAAAAAAAAGACTATCATAGCACAAAATACAAAATCTATCCCTTAAATATACTTTTGATAAAATATATAATACTTATTAATTTGCATTATGTTGCAAGAAAACAGAGATGCTTAATGTCCAGATCCCAATCAGTGTAATAATAATAAACCTTACTTGATGTCTACTTCTTTATGATTGATTGGTTTATCCTGTTACTGCAGGCCCTCTAGTGGCCATTCCGCTGGTGGGATTGATTTTTTAATTAACATAATCAAATAAATATTTTTCCTGTAACTCTTATCAGATTAACTAGGACACTTTTGGCCCTCTGTGTGTGAAACAATGTGTTGAACTGCTAGCAAGTTAAATGCATAGTTCACACAAGAGACCCCAAAACAGGCCGTTTTTTGTCAGTTTTTTTAATTTAACCAATCAGGCTGCAGGGCCCAACCTATCAAAATTACATTTCATGTGCTAAAATCAAATGCCTTGTTATAACTACGGTCTGTGGTTTGGGTGCTCATGTGAGTACAAGTGGAGTCACAATGATCTGTACTAAAGAAAAGGTTTGTTTGGGCCACAACAAACATGGCCTCAAACTGCCCTTGAGGTGATGGTTCAGTCAAAAATCAAATTTACTGAATTTTCCCTTTACCCAAAAGTCATCAATCAACCAGCACATCTTGGATGTCTGAAGTTAGCTTCTTCAGTTTTCCATTGGAGCTTTGAGGCTAATGAAAGCTAAAGGAGCTAACAAGTAATGAAAGCTTACACTTCATAATTTAGTGCTGTAAAAAACTGCATTCCTAAATCATTACATGCTCACCACAAACTGTACTGAGTTAAGTAATCTCAAATAGGTGTATAATGTTTCTGACACTAAATGACAAACTGTTATCTATAAAAATGGACAAAAGCAGCTTGCTAAAAACAGCAGTAGCAGTAAACAGTAGTAGCCTGAATGTCTTTATTTCTATCTTAAGTCATATAGTGTCAGCAAGCCTGGCTCAGATTACTTAACCATCTGTCATATTTTGAGGCAAGCGTGTGACACATTTTGAAGCAAGCCAGTTTGCACAGTGCTAGCTGGTGGTATATACTTGTCCCTGTAGCTTCATTACAAAACTAAAGAAGAAGACTTTGGATGCCAAAAATCTCTTAACTGATTGACCACATTTGGGGTAATTTGATTTATACCAATCTATTTCTTTAAGAATAATCCCGTATGATTATTCATGTGTCTTCATGCAGATGAGAGCTTACCGTGAGGTCTGCTCCCCTGTGCTTTTTGTGTCGGCTCAGGAGTGGATTGGGCTTCCCTGCCACTCCGTCCCGGTGCCTTCGACTTGATATGTGCTGCAGACACACAAACACAGTTAAACATAGGCAGTCAGCAGAATAATCGTTAAAGGAATGATTGTTCTGACGCAACTGTGCTTCACAGTCTAATCATTCATCGCTCTGCATGAGGCCTTCAAAAAAGCACAATCACAGCGTGTAAGTTCTTTCAATAGAAATGCATTGTAGTTCCACAGATTTAACAATTATACATAAAATGAATGTGCTGCTCTCTTCAGAAATCAGTATACACTGAAAAAGGTGATGCATTGAAATGACTTTGGATTTAGACATGCACATTATTTTCACAAGAATAAAATGTATTACATCAACATACTTTTTTCTTTCAGTTTACTTACTTTTGGCAATGGTATATTTGACAAATTACAAGTAAATTCAACGCAGTGCAGTAAATAAATTCTCCTGTGTTCTGCCTTTCTCTCACCTGTTTGAGCTGCAGTTCCGAATTGACCCGCACATTGCAGATCTCACAGTGGAAGGTGCGTTCCTGAGTGTTGGGGTCCGTCGCCCCACCTCCCTGCTCTCCACTGGGCTTGGGGCCCAGACGGGGGTATGCCTTAATGGGGCCCAGCCCGCTCCGGGCCTCCAGAATGGTTTTGTGTTTGGTGCCTAAAAGACACAGAATTGAATTTAATTGGATCAAGCAGCATGTTTTTCATTGCCTGTCATAAAAAAGTAGCAAACACATTCAAACAAACGACAATGTATCCTTTTGCACAATTTTACAATAATCATACATACAAACATGACTTATTTTCAGATCTGTCCACATTAAAATGTCAATTTAAAAACAAAATCAGTCATGCTTTACTAAAGGGCAGCATCGTTAAGGCTTTATGACACATACTTAAGCCATTCCTGAGCTGACATAAACCTATGTAAACATTTATAAAGGCTTATTCCAGTAAGCATCAGTTGTTATAAAGTCTGCTTTTGTCAGTTTTGATATTGCAGCAAGTCAGTTAACACCTGTTGAAATACATCTTCATAAATGTCTATTCTAGATTTATGCCAGCTGTCATAAAAAGCTTACGGAGGTGTTATGTAGCTTTATGAACAGTGCCCTCCAGTAAGGTGTTACCAAAATCCCTACTGAAATAACATTACAGTAAATCAAAACCCACAAATTGTGCTCTATGAGAATAAATTATGCCAAAAGTCAGAGCATGGCTATAAAAAACAGAAAAATACATAAGACAGGTGCTATGCTGGCACTCAATAAATCACACGCTTCACCTAACCAAAAGGAAGATATATTAGAGCAATAACACCAGGGGCTATATTCAGGCAACACTCAACTCAGCTATGACTCAGACTAACACCATCTGCTCTACCAGAAAGAGTGATGGTCTGGACCGTCTCCTCACTGTACCCCTGAACCTCAAGGGGAAGACAGGGATTCATTTAAGCATTTTACAAGTTTCTGCTTTAAATGAACATGTGTGAACAGTAATGGCCTGCCTCAGGCACTAGGGGGCTCAGTCAGTAATCTTCATACCACACGCTGTTCACAGGCACTGTGCTAAAGTCTGTTGGCTGGAAACACTGACATAGATGGAGATATAGTGGAAAATCTTTCTTATGTGTTTTCTGCTTCCTTGTCAGTTTGATAGAAGTACACATCCTTACTTTCCTTGAGAATTAATCTGGCAACCTCAGGAAGGCCTGATACAGGTACTGACTGCATTCCAGCACAAGCAGTAATTTATTCGTGAATCAACTGTTCCCCCAGTGCTGAGTTTTGACATGAGCAATAAGGGCAGCAGTTGAAACCACACTATTGCATTGCTGTTGCAAAACTGCATTTTTTAGGTTTCTGACTCGCAGACATGATGTTTTGCCAAACATGAAGTTCATCAGTTTTCATTGCTGGGCTTAATAAAGTGTAACACATGTTTCTGTTTAAATGTTTGAGTGTCATGTTGCTGGCCTATGAGGGCAAAAACATGGCTAAGGCTTTTAGACAGAAAACACGCTCTAGCCACATGCTTGGAAACTGAAAACTGTCAATGTTTTTCATGACACATATAAAAACATAATGGTCCTGCCAGCTCAGTTCTATTAGAGTTGCATGTTTTGGTTTGGCTGAAAACAGCCAAAACAATTCCAGTATTTTCCACAACCCTCCTCGCGCAAATCAAATGCAGCCATCATCTCCCTCTGACCGAGAATTCGCCCTGCATCCCCTGCGTGTGGAGTTAGGGTTACGGCGAGGGGAAGAGTGTGGGGGAAGAGAGAGGGCAGTGACAGAGCAGCTCACTGGCCAAAAATGCACTCTTGCAATGTTTGTCTTCATCTTGGTTCTAATTTGGACAGACAATAAGAGTCCTCTCTGTCTGGGCCCGATCTGCAAATACGATCCGAGGCATAAACAAACAGATGACACAAGTATTGACACATGAGTTTGGCCAACACACTGAGGAAACCAGCAGAGCCGCCTTTATGAGCAAACACACAGCCCTTCCAGCTCCGTTCCTCCAGCCACTTCCACTGTATGGCTCCACGTCTGCACATGTGCTTTTATTTTTGGGTCTTGCTAAATTTTTTGAGATTTGTTTGGTTATATGACTTCCAGATTGTGTGCTTAAGAAAGGATTATTAACCACCACCCCCCACACTTCAGCCTTCATTGTCTACTTTAAAACCCATCTGCTTCAGTACACACACAATGTCAGTCTTCATGTGTAAACATCAAAGCGGGAATTTGAAGTTTTACTTACAGAAAAACAAGAAATCGTCTGTGTCAGTAAAAGGGACCAAACACAATCAACAGATAATACTGATTCAGGTCATTAATATCATCTGGAAAGTGTAACAATGATTTACAAGCCTGCCTAGACAAATGAACAAACTTGGCACGTTTTCTGCTCTAATCAACTTATCCAAACAGCCGTTTTTTTTCCAGGGTACTTTAACGGGAACCCTGACTGTGAAGACATGTAAGCCTCAATATGGTGTGCATGTCCAGTACAATTAAAATGTGTTGCATAAACCAAGCAAAATACTTCACTGATCATTACAAATAGCCAAAATCCTTCAACTAGCAGATTGCCATCTTTGTTGCAGCATCAGCTGGTTGCCCTCTCTGGTCCACTGAGTGAAGGACAGCAAGCTAAATATCTCAATTTAAATACATTAGTCAGCCTTGCCAGCTTTAGCTAGAGCATGACATTACCCAACATAAAACCTTTTTGACTGCCTTATTTTCTATAGGAATGAGTCCAGTGCAACCATATGACCAGTGTGACACTGGTGACCTACTAATACAGGGATTTTGCATTTTACAATAGACAAAAACATTTTACAACAGACAAAATTTCCACTTGGTTTATACATCATATTTTAATAGTATGAGACATGTACACCATTTTAAAGCATACAGGTCTTAACAGTCAGGGTTCCCTTTAAATGACATGTGCTTGATTTTGATAAAGACAGGCTGCCAACCCACCAAATGAAGAGATGAAGTGATCCAAAACAGATAAAGGGATATAGCCATGTGCCACATTCTGTTTTGAGAAATACTCTATATATGTGCATCATTGTCTGTATTGAAACAAGCAACGTTACACCCCTGCAAAAGTCATTTTAAATAGTATTTTGAGAGTGGTGAAGGTGCCTATGCTGTACTTTAGGAAATACTGTGTATATTGTATTAAAGGGAATACTGAGCATACTGGGCAAAAGGGTGTACTGCATATACTTTACTAAAGGGAATACTGTGTGCACTGTACTAAAGGGAATAGGCCAATTGAAGGGAATGCTAAGTATACTGCACCAAATGGAATACCACATATAGTATAGAAATTAAAAACTACAGTGCCTGCTCACAGAAAACCACTTCAAAGAAAAACAATCAAATACAGTGATAAATAAAATCTAAATCGGAACACAGGAATACATACAGCTACTCTGCATTAAGACTGTCTAATGTTTTTTTGTGTCTCCAGGGCACTGTAAAAGAGTCTAGTCATGTGTAAATCACAGACAAGTGAGTGAAAGTTATTGCACAGAGACACAGCAACCATCTGATTTTAGACATTTAAACAGCCGTTCGGCATTGACCATAATTGCTAGTCTACTCTTCCAGCTCAGTCAAGTGTGGTGCGTTGAGCTAGGCACAGCATATTTCCGCACCTCAAAGTACAAGCTAAATCATGCATTCTTTAGCAGGTGATTTCTTTAAATAATTATACATTTAGCAGGGCAGCCTCATGCAGGTATGCAGCCCCAGGCAGACGTGTAGTAATAATTCTGGCAGCAGAGCAGAAATACTATCTTACAGCACACCTTGGTTATGTCCCGTCATTTTTTTGTCAGCTGAGATGGAAAGTTCTCAGTTTAAGTAATCAAACACCTGTGCTGAATTTGTTAAGTTGGAGACCTGTCACCGCTCCAGCCTAAAATGATTTTTGCATTTTAAATCATCAGAGCATAAACTCCCAGTTATGACCTGTTTGCCCAGGGAGACCAGCCAAAGCATCTGAAGTGAGTGAAGCATCAAGCATGCGTGGGGTTTAAAATACCTATGAACCACTTTGCATCGATTATTCAAATGAAGCATGGTTCCTTAGATGTATTACTGCAAAGGGTGAGGCCTGTATTTGGTTCTGTACAGTCTTAACAAGCAAATTTCCTAAATGGATCTTGGCCTGTTAAGACAGCCTAGAAAAAGGTGGTCAAGACCTTTATATGTGGAGGTTCTTTGCACTGTAAAAATGTTCTTCACACTAGCACATCTTGTTGTAGGGAATGTTTTTTTAAGACCATGAACACTGACTCAACTTTCCCCGACAAACACTAACGTTCCAGTGTTGGCAGAAGCTCTTATGCAGTTTCAAACTGAATCTGTATGAATTAAAGTGTTCTAGAAGAGTGGAGATGGGGGAGAACATTCTAGAACAGTGCAAATAAGTGAATAACATTCTAGAACAGAGTGAAGGGGCAGAGCATTCTATAACAGTGTGAATGGGGCAGAGCATTCTAGAGCAGTGCAAATGGAGAAGAACATTTTAGAACAGTAAGAATAGGGTATAACATTGTAGAACCGTGCTAAAGGAGGAAATATACTAGAACACTGAATGGGCGAGAATATTCTAGAACAGTGTAAATTAAGAAAACGTTATCTAGTTATGTATGTATGGAGAAAACTGTAGAACAGTATGAATGGAGGAGAACATTCTAGAACAGTGCCAATAGGGGGAGAACATTCCAGGACAGTGTGAACAGGGCAAAGCATTCTAAAACAAAATAAATGCGGGAGAACATTCCAGAACAATGTGAAAGAGGAGAATATTCAAGAACAGTGAGAATGGGAGAGAGATTTCTAGAATAGTGTAAATGGTGCAAAACAGTGCGAATGCTGGGAGACATACTAGAACAGTGGGAATTATGGGGATCACTGCAGAACAGTGAGCATTTAGGAGAACGTTCTAGAGTCTTCCAACAGTCACACATGGATATCACACACCAGTGTTTGAATTTGTTGTGTGTTGGGGTCTGTTGGACAAGATTGAGTTGGGTTGCTCTATTGAAAGGTTCTTTAGGGAACCGAAAGTGGTTCTTTTATGGCATTGCTCTAAAGAACACTTTGTGGCACCTGAAGGGCTGCAGGTGAGATGTGTGGGGAAGCTCACCTTTATTGTGAGCCTCCAGCTGGGAGAGAGAGTTGACGGCCACTTTGCACAGTGAGCAGTACAACAGCTTCTTGGCTTTGTCCTCCTCTGTTTCGGGGTTGCCGGAGGAGGCCGTGGTTGCTGCTGGGGCTCCGGAGCCTGTCTGTTCCGGGTTGGTGGAGCCACAGCCAGGGGAGGAGTTGCTAGCAGGCGGGGGCAGAGGGGTGGAAGGGCTTGGCATGAGGGCTCCAGCAGAGGGGCCAGGGGAGTCTGGAGTGGGAGAAGTTGATGCAGGCACAGGGCCCTGGGCCGAAGCAGGCCGGTTCAACTGAGGGCCAGCCTGCGTCTCATCTACAAAACAAAGCAAATAACACCATTGTATCAAATGGTGCATTCTCTGTAAATAGAAAATTACAGGTTTGTTTTTGGCATTCCTGACAACAAAGCATGGGACTGGAATGTAAGTGTTTCAAGTCTATCTGTTTTTGCCATTTTTTTTTTTCATTAAATCTCAGACTGAGCTGGCCCTGAACACCTGCCAAGTAGCACAAACCACAGAGTTTATGGTGCACAAAAAAACTAGAGTTCAAAAACACCAACCTCTGAAGTGCAGTGCTTAAAATTTACATAAAAAGGTATTTCTGGCATTTTGTGTTTAATGCTCCAAATTCCCAAGAGTTCTTTTTAATCTGTACAGCATTAATGAAAGGCATAGTTTGCTGTATTCTGACACTAAGCTGAGACAGCTGAGGACTGGACCAAGCCATGTGTTTGACCCTTCTGTCCTGGAGGAAAGAAATGGGAAACAGACTGATGTTTTTTTTTCTTCCTTTCCTCTGTTATTTTTGGGTGAGAACGTGAAACAGAACACACACAAACATACAGTACTGTGCAAAACGGCCCTTAAGTAAGAGTTATTCATTTTTCAGTGTTAGCAAAAAACAGAAACTTAGGACAGGAAATTATTCAGAAGCTTCAACAAATATAATATCACAGTTTTCAGTATGTGTGTCCACCCTTTGTGTTTATTACAGCTTCAGTTTCTTTCTTGGCAGAATTGCTCCTAAAAAGTTCCGTCTTAGGAGTTGACTGTATTTTCTGCTTCTCATGATCCAGGAGATCTCCAACACATTCACGATGTTGTCTCAAAAATGATGTCTACCAGGTCTCACATGGTTGTTAGGAGTTACACTTTCTCTGAATCTTTTAATCATTTTTTGAACTCCAGTCTTGCAAAGTTTTGTTTTTTTTTTAAATATTTTTCTTTTTCCTTTCCCCTTCCTTATGCTAGTGGATTATCTTCAGAAATCTCTCCTGATAAATGAAAACCTGTACTGAATGGCCATTTTGACCGGAAATTAAATAAATGTCGAGTGGTTGAGTGGTCTTTGAATCTTTTACAATACTGTGCCATATGTATGATATATCTAAGTATTGCTATGCAATAATATGCCCTATATGTGTTATATATATGTAAGTACCTGTGTAATATGTCCCACATGTATTATGTAATATGTGTATGCACCTATATGTAATAACATCCTTCCAAAGCTAACACTATGCATAGCTTCAGTAAGTTAAAGAACTGTTTTTTCTCTTTCAGTTAAAAAAGAAAAAGCTATTGTAAGAACTTTGGACCATTTGTCTTGGAAATGTACAGAAACAAACGCACACACACTCATACAGGACATGGGGATACAGTATACATGTCTGTTTCTAATAAGGCGATTACTGCTATGAGTAATGCCTTTGGCATTCGCCAAGATTTTGGGTGGAGTGCTGCAAAGACCCCCTAAATTTGGGTGGGGGAGTATTACAGAGTTCCGCCTGTCACTTCCAGTAAAAACAGAAAGAATTCTTCCCAACCTAAGGCAAGTTCAGCCCCAGATCATGGTCTGGGAGAGAATGGTATGGATGAGAAACGTAAACACTGACTTGAAATGCTCAATTTCATTTTAAGGATTACAAATGCTTTTAACATTTACAGCCACTTTGGCCATGAGCTCTTAAACAAATTCACACTCACGCAGCGTTTTTGACTTTTATTTCCTGAGCAGCGTCAGACTGCACCATACATAAGAATTTATGTATCAGATATTATGGCTGAATGCAGAAATCTCTCTTATATTCGTTGTTTCAGGTTCAGTATGACAGGTGGAAACTCAGTATTACAGCATTTTCTTCCTTCATGCTGGAAGCCCCCAGTGCCCACTTCTCTGACTCTAACTCTCCCTCTCTCTCTCTCTCTCTCTCTCTCTCTCTCTCTCCTTCTCTGTTTTCTTTTTTCAGCTTGCAGAGCACATGTGGGCCTGTATGTCTTCCAGGCTGACCGGCTTTCAGAGGCTCATGAAGATCAGCTGGATGAAAGTGCAGTGTAAAGGGGAATGCCTCTGCGGGGAGGAACAGGATGTTCGAGCAAACGACCCTCGTGACCCATTACACACAGAGGGAGGGGTAACAACTCTATCTATGCATGCAGCGCTGTGTGGTATTATCACTCTATAGACGTGAATGTATGGAAACATTTGAGTGTGCAGTATTTATGAAACAGACAGCTCTAAGGCTCTACAAAGTGATAATTCACATACAAAGCCAATATATAATACTCGTTATAGACATATATGACGACATATTTAAAACTGAATTTGTATTAATGTGCCAAACTATTAAGGGGACCATATTCTATGTTTGTTATGTATTTTAATCTACTCCCTTAGGTCCACTTATGGCATTTGTGTGAGTTTATATAATTAAAAGTAGTTTCAAAGTAATTGAAAAAAGTGAGAAAATTCAGTTTTCCGTGATACAAGCCCTTTAAAACTGTTGTGCTGCTTGGCAATCATAGTCTTCACTACACTGCAAGGTGTTCAATATGATTATTATTCAAATTAAATCAATCAATTTATTGAACACTCATTGCATATAATGCCTAACAACACCCCATGGCATATTGCTTTAAAGGGTAATTCCAGTATTTTTAAAAAAAGATTCAGCATAATTCAATCCCTGAGATGTAAACAAATTCTTTCAGAGTGGTTTGATTTGAAATGGGAAATATATTGACTTTACAACATATTTCTTTACAATGGTGGTGACAGGAACCAAGGGTCGTGATGTCGACAACAAAAATACAGCCATTTTATTTACTATCCGAAATGACCAATGAACCTACATGTCTTCTAAGATTACATTTATATGTAATGTCGATAATGGTAAATCTGAAAAAAAGCAGCTTTCCTTCTCTAATGTACAATGTACTTCTCCAAAATGTATTTTTAAAAATCTCACATCTAACATACACAGCATCAGGCAGTGTATTCATAAATATTCAGTATAACAACTTTCTGTGAGGTAGCTTCTGACTCCTGGTCATCACCACCACTGAGAAAAAGTCTAACTATTTAAACTCTTAAAATCTCTGCCTTATTACATACTAAGGCTTATTATTCAATAATTACAGGAACTTCAACGCAAACTGGTTGAGCTATTCTTAAATTATAGCAGTGTATAATAAAACTTTGGGCCTCCCAGCAGGCCCAGGCCATGTAAGGGGTTAATTATGCACTAGCATTGAAACTTTGATAGAATTCTTCATGAGAAAATCTGCCTTTAAAAAGTCTGAATTTCTACCCCAATCTAATACTCCCAGTGCTGCCTGTACTCATTACACGCCCCCAAACACGCTCTCAAAGCACAACATCAGGTCTTTGTTGGAAAGAAGCATTAGTGTGAGTGGGTGGGTGGTGAGATACTGCGTACTCTGCAGTGCGCATGTGGTTTGTGTTAAACTCCATAAGAGTGAAGGGAGGTGGAGTGAGTGTAATGGGGGTTCTCATGATCCTCTTATTGCTGAACCGCTGCCATTTACCACTATCATCTCCACCCCCTGCTTGCACACTACACCAGGTGCCCTTCTGCCTGTACTGCACTCCTTCCTGTATACTTCAGAGCACGACTGGACCGTCCACTCTCCCACACTGCACATATTTCACACTCAAATGAGACAAGCCTTGCATAAGCTATCAGAAACAGAGGCGCTATCCAAACACAGGCAAGCCGTACCATAAATATTTTAAGAGCGGGTTCAGAGGGGGAAAACAACACTAAATATTGCTTTCTAACGGCAAAATACTTTAACCAAGTGTAGAGAACCAAAAGTGGGCATGCTATGTGATTCTAGCAGAATTGTTGTGGTTTAACTATGTACACCACACAAATAAGGCAATTAAACCCTCGAATCCTCCCAGCAGTGAACTCTCATATTGCTGCATTTTACATGAACAAAACACATCACACCATCACAAGTAAGTCAACTGAAATCATGTTGATGTAATATCTCATATTAATGTGGATATAAGCAAATTCAACGCATCACTTTTTCAGTGTAAAAATGTCTCAATCCAATCTGAGAGATATAATAGCTGATTCAGGCACGTTTTAATTCAGCAGTGTCAGCTATATTAAGCCTGATCATATTCCGATCCCTACTTAAGGTTATTTTTCTACATTGCGCACTATTTAGGCTACACTTCTGTCAAAGAGGTGACATAAACGGACGTTATCCATAACTTGTGGTAATGAGACTTTTGATAGTTAGCTAGTAGCTCAAAGGTCTACATTATTGAGGTATTTTAAAGGGTGAATCCACTGCTTTTTCAAAATTCCTGCAAAATTCAGTCATTAAGACATATACAGTATAATTCAGAGTGATTTGATGTGATGTGAAAGGTCTTAAGCCAGCAATAAACTTCAAACCAAAATGACGATTCAAAGAAGAAAGACGGCTTTTTGGGTAAAACGACACAGTGGTTTCAGTTGGTATGGTGCGGTGTGTGCTGCTTGCAGACCAGAACTCATAATGCCACCTAATTGCAAATGGTCCACTGTTGTATACTAATGAGAGAATTTTAGCACAAACAGTCACTGGAAAGCCAGTGTTTCATCTATGGTAACCTTGCCAACACAAAACACAGATAAACCAACCAAGCATAAATTGCAAGTGTTCGGCTATTAAAACCTATCATTAACAGTACTTTGAAACCCAAGAGGACTTTACACATTAGACAAACTTGAAATGAAATTCAAGATAAATGGTAATTTGAAATGGTAATTTAAATAAAAACAACTTTAGAGTTTGTCACACTATATACATACTAAAATGATGTAACTGTACTGTAGCAGTAAGCTATAGCCCAGCATATCTTACCGAGCTGGACTGGTTTTACTAAGTTTAATATAGCCTTCCTAAATTGTGCACTGTGTGGCTGCATTATCTACAAAAATATAAATATATAATCAAGACTCAGTATCAGCAGTTACTCACTATTAAAGGAATGGCTGATTTAAAATTA